TACTGGGGGACACAGAAAACACTATTAGGCCCTGGAAGCCACTTCTGGCCAACAACAAAATCTTCCCCTCAAAAATCTTCATTTTTTTTTTTTTTTTTTTAGGAAAACGAACAAAATGCACGTTAATATGTATACATCATTACTATTAAGGCCAAATATACTCCCTAGCCCTAAGATTTCTGCCGGCATTTCGTGTTCCCTCATAACCACTTCCATATCACGATGTTAAAGCCGTGGACAGTGAATATGGAAGAAAACTTAGGTTCTAAGTAGTCCTTAGCCATCTGGGATCTAATGGAGAGCTTAAGCCCTTCCGGGTTATGTGGCTGCGGTGGGGATTTAGTGTTACGGATCGGGAGTGTGTGACAGAGCCCGTTTGTTTACCCAGGACAGGCGCAGCCCTTTAACTTTCAGGGCTCTGTTACAGTAATAAACGCCGTCCACTCGTCCTTCCAGTTTGCTACGGCCGTCGGGGTGGAAGCCAGCCTGGCGCCTCACCCTCGGCGGTCGGAGGCCTGGGCAAGCCCGAGACTTGTCCCGCGTCACATGGCCAGAGGACCCCTACGCTCCAGGCGCACCAGGGAGCCACGCACTGCCCGGTGGCCACCGCTCTCCCCGCGTGGTCGCCCACGACGGGAGCCGGGGGGGAGAGCAGAGGCCGCGGGAGGCCTTTCCGGGCCCGGGCGTCCCGCAATCCACGCTCCCCGGGCCGTGTGTGCTCCCCGCGCTCCGGACGCGGCCACACCGCATCCTCCTCCCGCTCCTCTCGGCCATCCGCGGTGGCGGCCCCGATCCCCGCCAAGCCCTGCCGGCCCTCTCGGCCGGGAACCGAGAGCCGCGTTCGCTCACCTCATGGCTGCGGACGCAGCAGCGAAAGGAAAGAGCTCGCGGGCCGCGGGCCCCTCCCATTATCTGCGAAGGGGAGAGCCCAAGCCCCGCTCCGTGCTTATCCGTATCCCCGCTAGGCTCGTCCACCGCAGTCCATCTCACACTCCCTCGCATCCTTTCCTAAAAATTTTGCGATCATGGATGCTTAAGGTCGGGGAACCGGTCTTAAACTTTAAAACACAAAGGACATACCCCTTTGGTCGGGCAAAGTGGTTCAGTCCAACTTCTCGGCACACATGCGCAGTGAGGGTGTTCGATCACGTGGGCCTCTGGGTGGCCGGAAGTGTCGCTAAATCGCGCAGGCGGAGTGAGGAGGGGTTTGGCCCGAATGGCCTAGTGTTTGCAGAGGGCCAGTCGTCTGTGGGAAGTTATTATAGTGGCTGGGAGGAAAATTAGCAAAAGAAGCGTTAGAGAACAGTGACGGCAGAGACCGGGCAAACGCTGCCTCGCTTCCACTCTCATAGAGTAAGACCTGGGGTGCAGGCTAGGCCACCATAGCTTTATCTCATGCCCCTGCAAAATCCCTAATCTCTGGCTGCTTCAGTTTCCTCTACTGTAGGCTGAACCTAATCCTTATGTTTCTGTCATCCACTTGTGAAGATATTATGCATCTATTTTTCACAAAGACAGGCATTAGCACAGGCGAACGGAACCAATCTTGTTTGGCTCAATCTGCACTGTAGCGAGCCAAGCCCATGAGAACTACGTCGGCTGAATAAATAAATGGCTATCAGAGAAAACAAACAAAAAAAAAAAGATCAACAGCCTTTGATAGCCCTGAGTGGAAACGTTAAAATATATGGAGATCTAGAGCAGAGCAGCTGCCTTCCTCCCTTGAACGTACGGAGTTCAAGGCCAGCCTGGAGTATTGGAAGCCCTGATTTAAAAAACAAAAATCAAAAACTGCAGTGGGACTGGAGAGCTGGCACAGGCTTGACTGCTTGCTACTCCACCAGACTACTTGGGTTTCCAACACCCACGTCTGGTGGTTCACAATTGCCTGTAACTCGAGTTCCTTGGGATCTGATGGCCTCCTCTAGCCATCTCATGCACCAGCAATGTTAGGCATGCCGGTACCCATCCACACAAAAACATACACATGAATAAAAATAAACCCCTTAAAAATAAAGTTCTAAGGGGGCTGGAGAGATAGCTCAGGGGTTAAGAGCACTGCTCCTCCAGAGGTCCTGAGTTCAATTCCCAGCAACCACATGGTAGCTCACAACCGTCTATACTGGGATCTGATGCCCTTCTGACTTGCAGGTGTACATGCAGAGAGAACATGCATACAATAAACAAACAAACAGGTCTAGATCAGAGCTAGATCAGAGCCTGATCTAGATCAGGGAGTGTACACCTTTAATCCTAGCACTCAGGAGGAAGAAGCAGGAGTATCTGTGAGTTTGAGGCCACCTTGGTCTATACAGAGAGTTCCAGGACAGCCAAGACTACACAATAGAGAGACCTTGTCTCAAAAAACGAACCCAACAACGACAAAACCAAAGTTCTTGATTAGGGTTCTGAGCCTCATTCTTACTTGGTTCGAGAGTCTGACCTCTTTTTTTCTGCTTCATTTTGAAGTAAGGTATAACCTCAACTCAATCTTCTCGCCTCTACCTTCCCTCAAGTGCTAGAATTAGAAGGACAGGTCTGTGTCCCCATGATTGGTTTTTATTTTCCTCCTCTGAGTTTTCTAGGCCGTTAAATGAGCTGAGAGTTAAAAAAAAAAAAAAAAAAAAAAAAAAAGGGGGGGGTGGGGTAAGGAACATATCAATGAACTGCCTCACAAGAATATGCCTTTTTTTTAAATCTCAATTTTGGGGCTGGAGAGATGGCTCAAAGGTTAAGAGCATTGGTTGCTCTTCCCAGAGGTCCTGAGTTCAATTCCCAGCACCCACATGGTGGCTCATCGGCGATCTATAATGAGATCTGGTGCCCTCTTCTGGTATACGAGCACACATGCAGGCAGATCATTGTATACGTAATAAATCTTAAAAAAAAAAAAAAATCTTCATTTTGGTGGTGGTGCACACCTTCAGTCCCAGCATGTAGGAGGCAGAGGAAAGGGCAGCTTGGTCTGTGGAGTGAGTTCTAGGTCAGACGGGGCTACATAATGAAACCCTGTCTCAAAACAATCACTCAGTCAATCACATAAAACAAACCAAAAATCCACTTCATTTTAGAACTTAGTAACAGACAGAGTGTCTTTCTTTTGTTCTTTTTCCTCCTCCTCCACTTCTTCTTCTTCTTCTTCTTCTTCTTCTTCTTCTTCTTCTTCTTCTTCTTCTTCTTCTT